AACCCCACCTTCCCCAGGCTCCAACCCCATACCTCCAGGAATTTCCCCACCTGGAGTTGGCAACCCTATGGGAGACAAACCCTTCTCTCCCCACCCTCCTCGCTAATTTAATCCTCCTCCCCCTTGCCAGATCTCAGTCTGTCCCAGTTCCTATCGGCTGGCCCAGAGCACTGCTCTGATTGGCTCCTGTGTTGCCAGGGCACATTGCTGGGCACCAGGGTTCCCTCTAAGCTGAGTGAGTGTGAGCCAGCTCGCAGTTTTTTAGCCTCCAGCTCAAACATGTTTGCCTTCGCTCAGGAAGGATGGGGCTCCAGAGGCAAACTGATTTATGCGGCAGCCCAGTCGCTCGCTCACAACTTTCATGCCCGTAGCTCACAAAGTAGGATTTTTGCTCACAGGACTCCACAGCTTAGAGGGGGCATTGCTGGGCACGGCCTGCCCCGCACCATCTCATCGTTTTGAATTTGCATTATTTGGATTAGGATCCACCTTGCACCCTCTCAGTACAGGATGCTTGCAAAGATGGGCGAAAAGGGGTGGCAAAAACCCTCTTGAACCAGCCACGCCTTTCTATATCTTCCACCATCCCCTCTGCCATTGAGTGTCTCATAGAGTTTTGCCCAAATACCAGAGCATCGCCAGCAATTTGATGATGTCACTTCCGGTGTGCGCAGGGGCTTAGGCCTTCCTCGACGACTGTCAAGTGCCCCCGCTGGCTAGGGGATTGGTGGTTGGGGCCTGGGGGGGGGCAGTGAATCCCCCTGCCCAAGACAAACCACAGGGATTTGGGAAATTCCTACAGTGTTTCTGCAACACTGCTTCTGAGCAAATTCAGAGTCCAGTGGCAACTTTAAGGCCAACATAGTGTCAGCTATGCTGCCATGGCAGCGGGAGGGGTCAGATGACCTGCGTACAAAGTACTGCGACATTCCTTCTGTGCTTCTTCTCTGCTGTAACGCTTGCTTATTTACAGCCATGCAGGGGGTGTGGTGTCTAGGAGTGAGGGAACCGTGGGAGCGCTGTTGGTTCCCAGCTTTGGCTCAAACGGCCTGGGGCTCATAAGAACATAAGAGATGCCAATGTTGGATCAGGCCAAAGGCCCATCTAGTCCAGCCTCCCGTCTCACACAGGGGCCAGCCAGTTCCTCTGCAGGGCCAGCAACAGGGCAGAGAGGCCGAGACCTTCCCCTGAGAAGAACATCTGAAGAGCCCTGCTGGGTCAGACCAGGGAGGGTCCCTCTAGTCCAGCCTCCCGTCTCACACAGGGACCAGCCAGTCCCTCCAGAGGGCCAGCAACAGGGCAGAGAGGCCGAGGCCTTCCCCTGAGAAGAACATCTGAAGAGCCCTGCTGGGTCAGACCAGGGAGGGTCCCTCTAGTCCAGCCTCCCGTCTCACACAGGGACCAGCCAGTCCCTCCAGAGGGCCAGCAACAGGGCAGAGAGGCCGAGGCCTTCCCCTGAGAAGGACACCAGAAGAGCCCTGCTGGGTCAGACCAGGGAGGGCCCCTCCAGTCCAGCCTCCCGTCTCACACAGGGACCAGCCAGTTCCCCTGGAGGGCCAGCAACAGGGCAGAGAAGCTGAGGCCTTCCTTTGAGAAGAACCTCATAAGAGCCCTGCTGGGTCAGACCAGTGAGGGTCCATCTGGTTCTCCAGCCAGGCCACCCAAGTAACAGTTTGCGGTGACACAGAGAAGACCACACAAATGCCCCACTGGGAAATTGGAGTCTAGATTACTTAAGAACATAAGAACCTAAGAGACGCCAATGTTGGATCAGGCTAAAGGCCCATCCAATCCAAGACTCTGTGTCACACAGTGGCCAGAAATACCAGGGGCCAAAGCCCAGAAGCAGTACATGAAAGCAACATTATTGTGTCATCTTCCCCTAGCAACTAAAATTCAGAGATACTGTCTTTATTTAAATAGTATGACTAGGTTAAGGTAAAGGTTTCCCTTGCTCGAAAGCCAGTTGAATCTGACTGTGGGGATGTGGTGCTCATATCCATTTCCAAGCCGAAGAGCCAGCGCTGTCTGAAGCCGTTTCTGTGGTCATGTGGCTAGCATGACCAGATGCCAAGGTGCACGGAATGCTGTTCCCACCGAAGCGGTACCTATTTATCTACTTGCAATTTCTTGCTTTCGAACTG